CTTCTCTTTGCACCATCTGAGGAATTAATAGCAAGACCAATTATATCCTAAGGCTGGTCCACACTAATCCCCCTCTTCGAACTAAGATACGCAACTTCAGCTACGTGAATAACGTAGCTGAAGTTGAAGTATCTTAGTTCGAACTTACCGCAGGTCCACACACGGCAGGCAGGCTCCCCCGTCAACTCTGCGTACTCCTCTCACGGAGCAGGAGTACCGGCGTCGACGGCGAGCACTTCCGGGATCGATCCCAGAAGATCGATTGCTTACCGCCAGACCCGGAGGTAAGTATAGACGTACCCCAACATGCAAGACAGCCAAGCTCTATGTGTCTCCCTCTGCCTCCCTCCAAGAACTGCCACATCACTTTTTAAGTCATTTCCTTTCCCAGACTAGGCAGTTTCATTCATATCAAAGAGCTTGATCTAACCCAAACACTCTTACAATAAACCAGGCAGCCTCGTTTTTGATATCATTAGCCTTTAACCTCCGAGGGACTTCTTCAGACGGGAGCTGCAACTCGTTACCAGATGTCAGAAAAGAAGTTTGTCATAAAAACCTCAGGAACAACTCGGGGCCAGACAGTGTACGTTTTCTATTATGCTGAAACTGAAAAAAAAAATCTTTAATGCAACAGTGCTTGATAGGGAGGGGGAAGGGAGAGGAAAGTGTTTCAAAAGGTCATGTCACAACCAGCTCTGAGGAGCCTCAAACCCCACATCGCTCATAATTCAGCCATTGGATTTCTTCATAAGCTCTGAGAATCTGTGAGGCTAAGCTGCAGCATTTGTGACTTTCTTTATAGAAAAGCAAAAGGGTACGTCTGCCTGGGGTAGTGGATCTGAGATGTGTGGCTCAACTCATAAATATAGTTTAAGTATTCACCCACTAGTCAGTCATTTATAGCCTGGGAAAGACCTGTGCTGATCAGTTATTTCTGCATAAAGGCAGACCTGGGGAGACTGGTTAGATTTCAGAGTAGCAGCCGTGTTAGTCTGTATCCACAAAAAGAACAGGAGTACTTGTGGCATCTCAGAGATTAACAAATTTATTTGAGCATAAGCTTTCATGGGCTACAGCCCACTTCATCAGATGCATAGAATGGAACATATAGTAAGGAGATATATATATATACAGAACATGAAAAGGTGGAAGTAGCCATATCAACTCTAAGAGGCTAATTAATTAAGATGAGCTATAATCAGCAGGAGAAAAAACTTTTGTAGTGATAATCAAGATGGCTTTGTAAAAACAGATATGATTGTCTGTGCATTCTTTGTGTGGCCGGATACGTTGTATAGACAAAACAGCTAAACAAGGAGGATCAAAAATTGCTGTCATTGCTGATACTGCAAATTGAGGGTATAGACTGACCTTTTACCAGAGAATGGGGTGGACCAGAGCCCAGGGGGAAGCCCAGAGCAGGAGCTGACCCTCTGAGTCATGCTTCATTTCCTGCTCCTCCCTTCATCCCAGGTGGGGCAGGGCAGGGTGGGATCGGGAGTAATCTGCTACTCATCCAGGCCAGTAGCAGATTACTAACCCCCGCCTGTGTGCCAGTTTAGCTGTGCTGTTTGGCCAGCTCGGGGGAGGCATAGCCAACAGCACTCATTCCCTGCCTCTCTCTGCCCACTCCATGTGTGGCTTGGAGTGGGGAAGTACCTGGTGTGAAGCCCCTACTCTTCCACCATCCCCACGCGCCTGCAGTGAAGATGTGGGGAAGTCTCATGAAGAGGCTTAATGGCCCCACATTGCCAAGTTTGCCAGGCTGTGATCCAGCCCATAGACAGCAACATGAAAAATGTTACTCCCTTTAGAGACAATTGTGTCTTTGTTTTCTTTAGGACAAAGCCAGAACTCATAGATTTACGGTCTATAAATGAGAAATTCCACCCCTCGTTAAGCAGATATGGGCTGTAGAAGATAATTAACCACATCTCATGGTTTACCCAACCAGCAAAACTTGGGTCAGGATTTGCTCACCACCCACATTAATTGCCCAGAACAGACTGACTGGTGTTGGACCAAATATTATCTCACCAGCATTTAATATCCTTGCCATAGCATGAAGGGAAACAGAAACCCGAGAAGAAGAGAAAATTAGAGCAGTGGGAAGAAAAACAGTTTCTTAACTGTGCAATGGATTCTGTCTGTCTAATGAATCCCCTTTGAAAACCACCCTCAGTAATAAATTAGGATGTAATATATTGCAGATGGATCAACAGTGGCACACATACAGCTTTATGTATCTGACACACAGGTGTTTGAGTTTGTGTTTGACAGCAGGTCAAGGTGTAGCCATGTTGGGACCAATCCTGCTATGCCTAGCTGGCCAGAGAATGATAATTCCATTTTGTGACAACTTTCAAGGTTTCTAAATTTGTTTTGGTTCCTCCAACCAAACCAAAACCCTTTTGAACATTTTCACAAAGCAAATTTGTGTTGAAACAGCTATTTTTGGATCAAAAAATCTTAGGTTTTCAATTTACATCTCTCCGCTCCCTTTCTCCTTCTCTCTCCAGAAGTGCCCAGAAAGCTCCAGATCTCAAAAACCTTCCCAACAGAAACTTTGTCAAATCTGATACATCTTTGGGAAATGTTTTGGCTTCAACAGAACAGCATATTTAGATAAAATGTCATTTAATTGAAAATATTCCAAATGCTAAGTGCTGACCAATTCCTGATTAGATACCTTTTGAAAAGGCCCATCCCACAGAACAATATTTTTAAGGAATTTTTTAATCATCCTTCTCAGATTGTAAGATCTTTATTAGAATGAAAGCATTTTGGGGGAGGGGCTGAGTCTCATCAATAACTGGGACACATCACTATTGTGATAAAACAATAATACTCTGAATAAATCCTATAGAATTCAATAGAAAATCCTATCCCTGTTATTGAATTATATAAAATGGTTACACAAAAATAACAGAAAATATTATTCTCTGTTAAATTCTAAATGATTTTAGCGGAATTTCCATGGAACCCTATTCAATTTCTATAGAATTGATTTCCTCCATTCTGTAGGACTTCTCAATAAGCGGGGCCAGCTCCAGGCACCAGCTAAGGAAGCAGGTGCTTGGGGCAGCCAATACAAAGAGGCGGCACTCCGTCCGGTATCAGGGCGGCACGACCGGGTCTTCGGCAGCAATTCAGCGGCGCGTCCCTCAGTCCCTCTCTTCTGAAGTGCCACCGATCGGCTTTTTTTTTTTTGTCGCTTGGGGCGGCAGAAAACCTGGAGCCGGTCCTGTCAATAAGGAGTTGAGGGCTGAGTCAAAAGAGAGAGATTTTGTTTGTGGTTCTGCCACTGACTTCCTGTGTGATCTTGGGCAAGTCATCTAACTCATCCATGTCTCAGTTTCCCCAACTGTAAAATGAAGATAACTGGGGTGTGGTGAAGGTAATACATTGGTGTTTGTGCGGCACTCAGATAACATGGTGATGAATGCCACACAAATGCCTATAAAGAAAGATAAAGAAAGGGGTTGAAGGTGTAAGTTTGTATTGTAATATTGACACCCACCATCAGCACCTTGAACCATAAAGCCCATTATTTTGAAGGGTCCCCACAGATGCAGAGAATGGGCTGGTGATCATTCTCCACTGTCTCTGCCTTGAATAGGTGCAGGATCGGGTCTTCACTAGGCACACTGTTTGTGTCCCCATTGGCTTACATAGCTCACTTCTGGGCTCCAGCTGATTTGGCAAATGAATACAGGCTGGAGCTCTCCTGGTTGCCACCCATCTTGCTGTGGCCAGGAGAGTCATGTTCTGAGTTCAATGGCCCCCAGCCTGCAGCGCCCTTTTAGTGGGAAGCAGAATGTTCCATTGCTGACTCCTGATCAAATGTTATTTCTCTTCTAATTGAATTCCTGCATTTCCATGGTCTGATGACAAATGTGTGTGTGTTCTGCATTACACCCTCTCATGACTTTAAAATGTTAGCGCTACAGGGCAGGGGCTCTGTTAATAATAAGTAATAATAAATGTCAGCCAGATGAAGATGAAGAATGGCAAGAATAATTACTGCAAATGGAGATTCTCTGCTTTCAGCTACTTTTCTTGGCTGCATTTAGAGGGAATTTCATCTTTCCTCTGCCTTTAAAAAAGAGTTCTGTACCCCGGACCACCAGGCATTTTAATCTTTCACCCTGATCCAACTCTCACTGAATTTAATGGGAGTCTTTCCATTGATTTCAATGGAAGTAGGATCAAGCACTTTGTGCTTTGGCCTCTCATACCCCTAATCTTTCGCTGTCTTGGGGGTACATCTGCATGGCAGCCAGGGGTGTGATATGCAGCTTCTGTAGATGTACCCACACTAGCTGTACTCTAGCTAGCTTGTTAAAAATAGAAGCGAGGACTCCATGGTGTGGGCTTCAGGGCTGGCTGCACGAGCAAGTCTGTACCCAGAGGGGTCAGGAGGGCTTGTGCTCCTCGTGCTAAAGCCCTCACCGTGGCATCCTCACTGCTATTTTTAGTCAGCTAGCAAGAGTACAGCTAGCACAGGTATGTCTACACAAGCTGCCCTTCACACCCCTGGTTTCAATGTGTTCCTGCATTCAGACATTTTTCATTTTGGGATTTTTCCCCTCCTTGTCCCACAGCCATACCGACAACATATTGGGATCGGTCTTTCATGTGCATCATAACATTTTATCATGGGAAAACTAGCGTCTTGTCTACACTGGCAATTTGTAGCGCTGCAACTTTCTTGCTCAGGGGTGTGAAAAAACACCCCCCTGTGTGCAGCAAGTTGCAGCACTGTAAAGCAGCAGTGTAGACAGTGCACCAGCGCTAACCCAGAGGTGGTAGCTACGCCCCTCGTGGAGGTGGTTTTTACAGAGCCTCTGCCGTGACCACCCAAGCCACGTTAAAGCGCTGCCGCGGCAGCACTGCCACGGCAACGCTTTACTGTTGCCAGTGTAGACTAGCCCTAGTTGTTCTGCATGTCATCACTGATGTGCTGTTGAGGACCATTTTGTCATGCTGGCATTTCGTCTCCTGTAGATGTTAGTGGTTTGATCTGGAAACAGAAATCACAAATTGAAAACATGTTTCAGCAAAAATGAGACACAAGTTTCCTAATTTTTATTATTTTTTTACAGGACTAGGTGCAAACCTCCATTAGTAGAAAACCAAGAGTTTCAATGAAAACCAAACCCAAGACTGGTACGAAGTTAACTACACAGCTCTGTCAATACTGGTCGTAACTTGAAATGACCCTCCTCGTTCCAGATAGGTCTTTTCCTTTCCCACCTGCTTCCATTCACAGCTAGATGAAGGTTTCCCTATATTTGTTATAGTAAAGGTTACCATTCATCAGGGTTAGAAACTACATCCGCACGTAAGATAAAGTATTCAGCGCTAGCCCAGTTTACCATCACTAACACCTGCCCCTCAGCCCCAGAAGGGATTTGTTTTCAAACATTACTCCACTGCCACAACTCCGCCAATTCCAGACTTACTAGGGTGACCAGATGTCCCGATTTTATAGGGACCGTCCCGATTTTAGGGTCTTTTTCTTATATAGGCTCCTATTACTGCCCACCCCCTGTCCCGATTTTTCACACTTGCTGTCTGGTCACCCTAAGACTTACTGATAGGAAAGGGCAAACCTCAAATTAGGTGGAAGGTCCAGTCTGTAGGCTGAGTGAGATTCTATGGAGCTAACACGAGGAAGCATGAGTAAACAATGTTCATGAGGAATTTGGAGACCAAATAAGATTTTAAATTGTTGTATAACATGAATGTGTGACTTTAAAAGTTGTTTATTAAATCCTGCTCTCATTATTCTACAGGCAGTCTCTGACTACATCTGGTGTTGTCTGGGAACAAGTATTCTGTGTACCCTGCTAATACACAGTGGCGTACTGGTAAAAAAAGAAGTGGGTAAACTAACCTAACATAATAAACTCCATATTCAACTACACTGCTGCTGTGTTCCCCGCCACCATGAGGTGAAAACGTAGGCAGTTATTTTTGTACCTCAGCTAAGGGAGCAAGTTCCATTGGCACCCAGCAGGCCACCTGATGAGTTCTCGGTCCCATCTTCACTGGCTTTATAACTAAGGCTATGTCTACACTACCACCTGTGTTGGCATAAGTTGTCACTCAGGAGTGAAAAAAACACTCCTCTGAGTGACATAAGTTACACTGACAGAAGCGCCAGTGTGGACAGTGCTATGTCAGTGGGAGAGCTTCTTCCGCCGACACAGCTACCACTGCTCGTTGGGGGCGGATTAATTATGTCAATGGGAGACCTCTCTCCCATCGGCATAGAGCGGCTACATCAGTACAGTTGTGCCACTGTAAGCTCGCTGGTGTAGACATAGCCTAAGACCTTGTCTATAGTGGGGAAATTTCCTCCAACTTCCCTTCTGTACCTCACAGGATTGCTGTCAGGATAAATACCTTATATATTGTGAGATGCTTGGATACTCTGATGAGGGGCCCATAAAAGTGCCTAATATAGAAACATTCAAACCAGAACTCAAGTGGCAGATGCTCACGAAAAAGCCAGGTTGTGCAAGACAAGGCAGTGTTCATTCAAGCAACAGAATCGCTGTGGTATCACCAATAGCAACAAAGGGATTTAGAGAGATGAGCTTTAACACTAATGGAGGCAAAGAAGGTCCACATCTTTGTGGTCCTACATTCACAGAAAACCACAAAGAAAAGAAAGACCTGCTACAGGGGGGGAATGAAAACAAAGTGGAACTGTATTTGCTTAAGAGGACGGAAGGTCTTCCACAGAGATAGTGCCTAGCTTGTTACTTCAGATGTTGCCGATCCTGTCATTCTTTCAGTCAAAAAGACATTATAAAATGATACACACAAGAGAATCAAAATATAGCTGGAGCATCTGGACTGTATGTAGCTGTCAGCAAAATAACCAGCTTGACACTTGCAATGCTATGAGATGCCAGCAGGTCCGAAAAGCAAACCAACCCCCATAACATTTTCTTGTTTTACTTCTTAAAAATCAGAAACAACTAAATTAACCATGGAAACAAACCGAACAGACCATTGTGCAAAAACACTCCCAATTAACAGCATTAGGCTACAAAGAGTAAAATCCTGGCACCATTGCGGTCTGTGGCAAAACTTCTGTTGACTTCAGTGGACCCAGGATTTCACTCGAAGAATTGATAGCTCATAAAGAGACAGTGATAGACAAATTTACATACCCATCTTCCACATTCTGACCAATACACAAAATGTCATCAGTAAATTGTATTCACCTTGTAGACATGGGCTAAAACTAAACTCCAGGGGGACATGGATCAGCATTCACGTCACACTGTCAGTACCCAGGCTTGGCCAGGGAAGCTAATGATCCAACCAGCGAACCAAATTCGGTGATGAATCCTGGTCAAGTGCCACCTGAGGCATATTGCACATACTCTAAGAAGAAGATTAAATTCCAGACTTCAGAACTACCCATCACTAAGCTTTGGATTATGGGAAATCCTGATCCAAATCTTGCAAATGGCCTTTACCCTTTATAATGAACCAAGTCAAATTCCTGGTTCAGAACAACTCCAGATTTTGAGGTCAGGGCCGACGGGAGTGGGGGGGGGAAGCCAGTACAAATTACCGGGGCCCGGCGGTCCGGAAGGGGGCCCGAGGGCCGGTTTCTCCCCCCCCCCCCCCCCCCCATCGGCCCTGTTTAGCCAGTCCACCCTTGCTGGGGGACCCAAAAAATTTTGTTCACCAGGGCCCGAGCCCACTCTCGGCGGCCCTGTTTGAGGTGTTCAGAATCTGGATCCATCTCTGGCTCTTTCTGCACTATAGTGACTGCTCCGCATTGAGCTATGCATTTTTATAAAGGGAAAGGTTTTAGAAATCCAGCACCTCAGGTTGGGGAATCATTCAACTTGAACCTTTGCCAAAGAAAAACTCCAGACTTGGAGCAAGTTCAGCCTGCCTTCATAAACCAGCAGTGCTTTGTATGTTTGTGCTCACAAGTTTTTTTGTCAGAGATAAATATGGGCTGGTTTGCTCCATCTCAATGTCCATGAATATTTTGCCATTTGGCTAGTGCAGGGGGTGAGCTCTTTTGGAACAGGAAGCCCAGATTGATTGACCATTCAGGCAAAATGTGTCATTGCGCACCCAGGGACATAGACACAAACACCTGAACTTTCCCTTCCACATCACAACACCGCTTACCTTCTTTAACTGCAATCAAATTCAGGCAGGCCCTATGGTAAGTCACAAAGTGAAGTGTTTGGGGCATTCCCAAATTCTGAATTCCTCTTCCAGCCCATGGCAGTTTTGCAAATTCCTCTGACTTTATTATTCCTGATTCCCCCTTCCTCCCATGTTATTGAATGACTTATTTCCATAGTGCTGTCTGGTTTCACACATTTACCGGGGCAGTTTTCGCCCTGCTTTGAAACGACTCTGAGCATTCTCTTGTCTAGGCTAAATGCAGACATCTCAACATGAAACCAAAGAGCAAATACAAGGATCCTTAATGGATTTTTAAAGCTTCTATTTTATATAGTGTTATCCATTTCTATTCTATAACTTTCTATTATATTCAAAAGCTCTGGCAGCCCCTCAGTGGAGCTCTTAACTGATCTGGAGCGTGGGGAGCCCAAATCCTCTCCCAATAAACCCAGTTCCCGCAGGTCTGAATGCTGTTACAATGTTAAGTGCTCTGGCTCCTATAAAAGCCTTTGATGACATCTTTATTAAATGAACTGGAGATTTGCTACATCTTGTTGATTAAATTATGCAAAAGTCAACTCTTTCAGTTTCCCTACGTGTACATTCATTGTCACAGATATAACAGATATTTTACGTTATACCCACCCACTGGAGATTGTCAGGTGTTTGTGTTTATTTCATTTTTCCTTCTCAGAAACCGTGGTAATATAGGCTTTAAAAAAATACTTGGAAACGTGAACTTTACATTAAAAAAATCCCTAGGCCACATTCATATTTTGCCTGCCAACAATGCAAGTTTGATGAGGTATTAATGCATGACACACCTAAAAGAAACAGAATATTAATACATAAACCCTCTGTTAAAACACCCTTGCAAGCCAGGACAGCTGTCTCATACTGAACAAAGCCAGGAAACTCATATGTGGAGCTGGTTGAATTATTTGTTGTAAATGAATTACCTGGCAAATGTAGCACTTCTTGTGGTCTCATATCATTCAAGAACCAATCTTGATTTTTATTAATGTTTTTGTTAGTCATGATTGCAAAATAGTTTGTGCAGACAATTGCTTTGATTAGTTTGCTATTCGCTAATCATTATTGGCGTGTGTTTTGTCACCTACGTGACATCTATTTGTCTATCTATCTGCTGTTCTTATACAGTGATCATCACCATACAATCTCATTGTGGTTTAAGAAAAAAAGTTATTGTTTAACTGAAACTTTTTAGTTGGGAAATTCACCCATGGCCTGTATAAAGACAATGTACCATTTAAGGTCACAAAATAAAACTAGAGTTTAAATAGCACATAGTATTTGTGCTGGACCTCTGCACAAGGGAGAATTTCACCTGTAATGAAAAAAGAATGTGATATGAATTTTCAGATGAATCATTTGTGCTGTGATCAGTTAAACTTTCAGGATTCACAAGCACTTTCCAGCATAAATCAGCAGGCATGTGAATACTTGTGAACAATTATAATTAGCGCCATGAACACTGCAGAGGGAATTCCCCATCTTTAGTCACTAAATTATTCACAAATCACTTTTTGTCCTATTCAATCAGCTTTGCTCTAAGGAAAGGCTAAAACTCATTAGCACATCCCTTTATGGTCAGGTAGCCGAGTAGCTCATTAGCAAGGTGTGATTTTTTTTCATACTATTTGTGCTCAAATTAGTGCAATGCAAAAACACGCTGCTTTAATTTCCAGGAGGTAGCATGGACCTTCTTTGGTTTCAGATCATGTGGATTTGCACTCCTTTGGGTTTGCTTGGAATTTGAGGTTTGCCTAGTTTGTATTTTGACCAGTGGTCATCACAAAAACCACCACTACAGTCATCACTAGAGTTGGCAGGTTCAGCAGAGAGGGTGCCTAGTCCTAGCCTGGAGGATCAGCTACCCACTCCACCACAGAGATGATCTCTCCAGGTCAGTGTTGCATATTGGAGAGCCAGCCTGGGGGAGGCTGAGCCTCAACCGAGCATTGTTTGTTTAGTCTGTGAGTAAACAGATGACTTCTATATCAAAAGCTGTCAATCCTGCACCTTTTGCCAGCACTAAGGGCTTGATCCAAAGCTTACTGGCATCAATAGGAGTCCTTCCCTTGACTTCGGTGGGCTTTGTATCAGCCCACACAGGAACGGTAGCAACTTTTCAAAATTAATTATCTTGGCTATTTTAAATGTTTTTGGCTTCAAATACCAGAAGTGCTATGTTACCCATATCAGTTCCCAAGTATCCCACACCAAAGCCACTTTTCAGTTCCATGAATACAATGTCATATCCAATAATACACAGCTTTCTTTTTACAAAGTCCTATAATATTTTACAGGAGCAGCCTCAGAACCCATGTTTTACTACCATTAACACAGCATATTTTAGTAATGTATTTTAGCATAATCTAGCCAGATTCCCACCTTCCAAAATGTCTATTCTTTATGTTACAGATATATTAAAACTTCAGGATGGAGAAAGAAAGGTGTTATTTTATAACCAAGGACAGACCTGAATGGACAGCAACTATCAGTAAAAGTTGTAAACACTTTGAGGAAGACAGATGCAAAAAACTGATAGAAATAAAGGCCAACCGTCATGCCAAGTCTTCAGCGAGAGCCTGCACATTCCTCTGACATCTGTTTGGAATCTTGTGCCTCTTGGATCAGGCTAGGCAGCCACATGAAAACACACGTGGTGCTGTGACATCATTGTTGGTTACAACAGACAGCCACACAATTTTATGGACGTCTGTTGAAAAATGCCAGTGTCACGCATGGATGTTAATGGAGGAGCAATGGTCAGCGTAGACCAATGAACAGTTTGGCACTGCCTATCAAGATCCAATAAGAATATTGACTAATAAAACTATTGATGGGTCGTTTCTAAGCTAACTTCAATAGATAATAAACTTACACTGGGAAAATACTTTAAAATACTTCCCAGTGAAGAAATATGATATTGTCTCTGCTTCCTGACAGGTGCCAAAAATGAATCTAGATATAGTTCTAGCATCTCTCACCCTACAGTTGTTTCCAATCATTGCTAATAATACTTATGGAACTTTCTAAGTGCATATCTAACTTTAGCAGCACATGGAAAAACATGGTCTCTACCCAAAGGAATTTACAGAGCATTTGTAACAGACAAATATGATGTCTAGTAATAAAGCAAACACAAAATGACACAGGGTGATCATTGCTGGAATGCTTCATAGAAGAAGTGAGTTTTAAAGAAGGATTCGTAGAAGGAATTCAAGGAAATGAAGGTTTCATGGTCATCAAGAAATGGGAGGCTGTTCCAAGTGTAGAAGGCAGGAAAGAAGTGAGGAAGTGAAGGAAACAGTGAGGAGAGAAGATTGGATGAAGCAGGACAGCATGCAGAAATAACACCAGAGACAGAGGTGGGGCCAAGGTTTCATAGAACAAAAGGATAAATCTGATGTTGATGTGGTAAAAGATAGAAAGCCAGTGAAGGGTTTCAAGGAAAGGGCATTGATGAGGTGAGGAATGGCAGGAGAGGAAGATGATTTTTCTAAGTGACATTTTGTAAGGACTGCCTTGCAGGGAAGCCAGAGGGCAGGAGGTCACTGAAGCCTAGATGAGAAATTACCAACGTGCTTCTGTAGGGCCCTGGCTCACCATTATAGCAGTAGAGATGGAGAGGAAAGGGTGGATTTTAGTAGCATTATAAAGGAAGAAGTGACAGGACTTTGCAAGAGGGAAAACATTAGAGAGAGGAGTTGAAGGTGACACTAAGGTTGTGAACCTGGGAGATGTAAAGAATAGTGAAATTGTCTGTTTGGGGCATACCTCATGTGAAATAGCAGCAGGAGAGATCTGAGAAACAGCTGCAGATGCAAGACTAGACTGCGTGGCAGTGGTTGAAAGAGACAGGTAGATTTTTAGGTAGATCTGAGAGTCAGTGGCAAAGGTGTGGTTAGCTGAAACAGCATGAGCTAAGGAAGTCTTGTGTGATGGAAGGTGTGTGTGTGGGGGTGTGTAAATCACTGGGGCAAATCAGCATAGTTCTTTTGAAATCAACAGAGCTTCCACCAGTTTGCACTAGCTGAGGATCTAGCCCAGAGAGTAGCAGTTCAGGAATCTCTGGGTTCTTCTTGCCTACTCTAATAATGAGTCCTGCTGATCTTCCATTACCCAATTCCTATCCAGTGGGTGGAGTTTGGAGTGTTGCCTGATCCTTTTTATGGTTGATGATGTTTAGATTTACTGACCAATTGATCTGACTACAATAAGGTTCTTTCCCCCAGAATCAGGCTACACAGAATTCATATTGTGGAGTTCAATATCTTGTGGGGAGTCTGGGGGTGGATAACAAGGACACTCTCATGGAGGGCAAAGTAAAACCTTAGATATCTTTATTAAAATAATAGAGAAAGCCAGGAAAGATCCAAGCCACATAACAAGTTACAGATAATACCTGATCGGGATAATCTGTGGTATCATTCTATGCATAAGCTTTTAGAATTGCATACTCACACCCTTAGTTGAGGACCCGGTGGTAAGAGACAACAGGATCAGCCCTGTCTCTGGCATGCAATGTCCCAACAAGTTGAATGGTCAAGTAGAAAAGAAGCAGACAGCAATGTAATAGGCCCAGGAAAGAACATTCCCGGACCACATGGTGACTGCCCTGTTATAGGCCTGAATATCATCTGCTCATGCTCAGTCCTCCATGCCCAATATTATGCCCATATTTAGCCATTTCAGCAATATAATACTGAGGTGTACTTATTCTATAGGTTAGCATAATGATATGTGTAGCTACCATTTCAGCACATGATCATGCTGCCACCCCGGCTTACACGGATTTGCGGTATTACTTCCATGTTCCTTGAAGTCGCACTTGACACAAACATTCTAACTCCTGTCATTGAGCAAGCTCTTCTTAGTTCTCAAAATCTAAAGGTAACCAGTGATCTGTGCAAAGGGTTACGGCCTACTAAGCCACACTTATGCTAAATTATGCTCCAGCTACTGTCTTGTAGGATACAGGCCAGTAGGTTTCTTGCATTACAGCTGAATACAATAAAAGGCAAGCCAGTGAATATAATGGGGCAAACTTGCCCAATGGGCTAGCAGAGTAACCCAAGCACCTTACCTAGGAGGTATCACAAATGAGAGGGAAGGTGCAGGCACTGGCCAGTATAGTTATCCATAAAATTTAGGACGCACTGCTCAAGGGTATTGGCATCAGCCTGACTGAGCCTTCCATGGTAGATGGGCTAGTACTGACGCCATTTTCTGCATGCACCAATAGTTGGTCTCTGAGGAATAAATGTCCTCGCTTCTGCTAACAAGTTATGTGACTAACTTGGCCCCCTTCCACTTGGTAGTGAGAGCCAAAGGCTTTGAATGGGGGAATTCAGGTGCATGAAGCCTGGTTCTGTGGAACTCTTTGTAAAGCAATTGTTGTTGCTGGCTTTCAGGAAGGCCATTTTAATTCACACTACATAGCCATTGTCCCTTAAATCCATAAAGATGTCCTCCTCGATTCCAGGCTGTTAAGCCTACTAAGGAAATAACTGAGCCTCTTCTGATTTGGCGGGAAGGGATTTGTTTTGATCAGTAACCAGATGCTGTGGCATATTTATTTAAAGGTTTTGTGATATGAAGGACTGACCATATGAATAATTTCCAGTCAGCAAGTTGTGTCTGCAAGTTGTCGCCCAATGGTGATAGCTCTCAATTTGCTCTGAGGGACAGGACTTTGGCTGGTTTCCCGCAATCTAGTGATGTGGTGGTTTGGCAACTGGAGTATCAAATAGCAACTATCACTATCCACTTAGGGGCTTAGTCACTGTGGAGGCATGAGCTGGCCAGGTGGTAAGAGAACTCGGACACCACAGGAGAGGGGAAGAGGGAGATGAGGAGGGAGAGGTTCATGGGAAGCAGGGGATGGGATGGAGGGATAGCCAGGGAGCAGGAGAAGCACTTAGGAAGCAGGGGGTGGGAAGTTAGAAGGGAACAGAGCAACATGGGAGAGGGAGGAGTGGTGAGAGAAAGGCAGCACTATGGGAGGAAGTGGATTTGTGGGTCTGGAGCTTGAGGGGTGAGACTGTAAGCACAAGAGGATTCCCCACCCATTAAGAGTTTAGGTATCTAGGTGCCTGATCCTGTGACTTCAGTAGGAGCTGGAGCTGCTTTGTGCTTTACGGGAGGTAAAGCTCTAAGCAGGACTGGGCCTTAACTAAGGAGCAAGACTCCAAAGTGGGGGCCTGATCCTGCACTCCTTACTCACGTACTACTCCAGCCAAACTTCCACTGACCGCTAATGGGTATCTCGCTTGATTGGAGAGTGAGTTAGGTGTTCAGGGTGAGGCCTTCACTTCTCCCCATGTCAGCCCTAGGTCCAGGCCACCTGAATGGCTTGATTTACTTTAAACAATAAAAATAATACCCAGAATGAAACGTTAGAGCCCAGCTATTGCTCTGATGTTGTTGTGCTGTTATTGACATTTGAGAGAAAGACACTAAGTTAGGCTGTCTTCTGCAGCCCCTCCTCATGCTGCTCGGCACTCACTCAGGCAAGCGGTCCCAGTAAAAGTCATGGACTCCTGCTATGAGTAACTACTATTCTGTATGAGTCAAGGCTGCAGAATCAGGCCCTCAGCCTTTTTTTGTTCTCCCCTCAAAATGGGCAAAGCTCACTCTTTCTGCAGTATGCATTGTAAGGGGGGGAAGCCCTCGTGTCTCATAGAAGAAGAGGAAGCTCTCACTCGGCACTGTAATAGCAGCAATTATAGTGAACAAGCAAATCTCTAAGCAACTATAAAGAGAAGTTCTCTCCATAAATTTAATTTGATGACTCTACCTTATGTTATATCTTTGGTCAAATGTCAGCAGCACAATGCCCAGATAGAGTTTTCTGTGAGCTATAAAAATGTTAACCCGGCCTATGAATACGGCAATGATGTCTTCTGTGGTAATTAGGGCATGTGCTGCCTTACCAGCTTAGTATACTGCATACAGATGCAGTACATCTATGTTTGATTCTCCTTTGTTGATGGTTTGATGAGACTCAGACACATCCCAGCTCAGTTTCCAATTCTTTCTTTAAAAAAGTTTCCCTTCATTTCAACAGGATTTTAATGTTATATGTGCAAAAAGTTCAGAAGTACTTTTTTCCTTCCGTGAAGCAGTTTTACAATTCACCCATCTCTTGTTTTCCTTGAAAGCATCCAGCATCTCAGCTACTGTCTCTGCAGGTACAGTATAATGCAACAGATGCGGTGAAATTCACCCTTGTGCAGTGGACCAGCAGAAGGTTTAAGAGGAATGTAAATGATGCACGGACCCAATGCACAGGAGTGAGTTTCAGCCCTAGAGAGGGTACAGATTATGACCACAGTTCTGAAGACCGTACTCAGGCAAGTTTGTCAGTGAAGTGAATGTGATAGTAAAAAAAAATTAAATGTATTCCCCAGCGAGACAAACATGTAATAAAATACTAGTTTCCCAGGTTGGCTCCTGCTACAATATCTCCAATAGTAAACAGAGGTTTTCTTTTGCCTGAGGTGGTAAAGATACTACTACAGTATCACCAATAGCAAATATAAATCTTTATTTCAGGTGGATTCTCTTTTACCTTAGGGACAAATTCTGTCCTGATTCACAGCCCGTGTGATCTCTTTAAGGACTGTCAGTCAGGGCAAAATCTGGCTCAACTTGCACTGGGATCAGACAATAAAACATCCAATATCTGTTATTTAAAATTCCCACACTGCCCTCTCTAAATTCTCTTCTTTTAAATCTTCTGAGAATTTCAGTTGATTGACAGTTCTGGGGTCAAAGCAAACTAAAATCAAAGCAAGTCAAAGACCTGTTCAAAGCAATTCCGAATGGGAAGGCTTGTGTAGTCCAGAGCTAATTCTTTGTCTTTCCCACATACTGCATCAAAAGCAACAACAGTGCCTTCCTTATCTGCCCCTCTCCATCAGGGAAACTGAGATAAGAACTAAGGGCCAGATTTTTAGAGGGATTTAGGCATGGCTTGGCTGAGTGGAGAAGTGCCTAACCCCTAAGCGGCTGCCGCCTTGTGGAATTTTTTCTTCCCTGAGACAGGCAGCTCTGTGTCACCTCAGCTCTCTATAGCGTGCCTGGG